TTCTCTGATCGTCTTCTGAAACCGTATTAGTGGCGAGCCACAGAACAAAGCCTGTAATGTGGACTGCAGATCCTTCAATGTGATCTTTTTCTCAAGATACTGTCTTAATTTTATTCACAGTTAAATTCAACTCAGTAATAACACGCCAAATGTTGGGTTTTGGGCTATGCTAAGAGCATCTGACATTAGGATGAGTTCAGGAGGCTGAGCTAGTGCAAAAGCATGAAATGTTTTGGTCTTAGATTTAAATCATATATTTTCTATTTGTGGACAAATCACATCTTAATACAAACAGTGATGCCACGTTTATAAGTAAAATCTTATCCATTCATTTTCAACTACAAGCTGTCCTAATCCAAACTGTTATCACGTTTACAATTTTATCCAGTTACCATTTTAACAAATTTTCAAGTTTTAATAAATAATCTAAATACAAAACTGTTAAATAACTTAAAAGATTAATATTTGACAATGAAATATGTAATGTGTTTAATAGAACTTTTTGAAAGAAGTTGGATGAATTGTTGGATGAAAACAAGGAAGTCAAAAATTACTATTTTGAAAATATTAATACAATTTTAAATAGACCTGTTTCATTTGTTATTGTTGTTTAAATATGTAATTTATTTGATAGAAAAGACCAATTGTCAGTGTTACATAAATCTTTCAAAGTCATTGTTTGGTAAAGTTACTTTTAAAAGTAATGTATTACAATCTTAAGTCTATCTTCCGTTTAAAAAATACAAAAATAACATACAAAACACATTTATTTCATCAAAAAATAACTAAGCAGCACATTTAGTGTTTTTTTTTTTTATCAAAATGCATTCATTCATTTTCCACCAGCTTGGTGCCTTTATAAATCAGGGATCACAACAGCGGAATAAACCTCTAACTTATCCAGCGTATGTTTTACACAGCAGCTGTCCTTCCAGCTGCAACCCAGTACTGGGAAACACCCATACACTCTCACATTCACACACATAAGTAACGGACAATTTAGTTTTCTCAATTTACCTATAGCACATGTCGTTGGACTGTAGGGAAACCGGAGCACCCGGAGGAAACCCGCACCAACACAGAGAGAACATGCAAGCTTCACACAGAAATGCCAACTGACCCAACCGGGGCTCGAACCAGCGACCTTCTTGCTGTGAGACGACAGTGCTAACCACTGAGCCACCGTGTCGCCACTTGCCTTAAAAATGTAATATATTATTTTTAAAAGTAACTTCATCCAACATTTTATTTGAATATGGTAATATGTGAACCAAAAATATTATGTTTAAAATATAACATTGAAAACAGAAATTATATTTAATAGTTGTGTGTAAACCATCATGAATTTTTAGGGTTTCTATGATGATTAATACGTTTTTAAAAATAAATACTTTGTATATTTGATAGCAACTAATAATTTTATTAGTGTTATTGACTAATAAAAGCTAAAATGAAATTAAAATGCTAAATATTAAAGTTACTTTGTAAAATGTGTATAAAATATTGTAATCATAATATTGAAAAGTAAAATACTGCTGTATTTTTGGTCAAATAAATGCAATCTAGAGAACATAGAAGTATACTAACTTCCTTAAAAAGATTTGAAAAATCATAAATGATCATTCCGCATACTGTTCATTAATCAAAATACAGACTTTAAACCATCTCTGTTTATAATTGTGCATTATGTGATGCACATACAAGGTCATTTTATCAATAGCTTCAACACTATGTAAAAAAAAAAATGGATCAGTCAATCACATACAGCAGTAACACCTTAGCAACCACCCGGAACATCCTAGCAACCACATAGTGACACACACACACACAAAAAGAACAGAATCATATTAGGGTTATAACATGTGGCAGTTTGTTTGGCCAGTTATTTTAGGACAGGGGGAGTTATTTTATATGGTACCTTTAAAAGCAGCATCTCAAAGTGCTTTACATATATATAAAAAGTGCAAAGGTAAAAGATGCATGCAAGGAGAAATGCATAAAAGTAAGACCATTCAAGGCCTTATACTGTAAGTTAGCATACACATTTTAAAATCAATTCAAAACTGACAGGAAGCAGTGCAATTTGCTCTAAAATATGCAAATCTAATATATTATGTGTTACCTTGCATTGGTCCTAGTCACATTTCAACCAATGAATTTGATAAAATATTGACCCATAATAAAGAATGTCTATAGTGTTGGGGTGAGTGAGGGACAAACACCTGAGGGGCAAATGGGAGTAGTAGATCATCTATACCATGTAGAGTTCAAGTCAGAATGATTTGCCATGATGACAGTAAATAATATTTGACTAGATATTTTTCAAGACACTTCTATACAGTTTAAAGTGACATTTAAAGGCTTAACTAGGTGAATTAGGTTAACTAGACAGGTTAGGGTAATTAGTCAAGTTATTGTAGAATGATGGTTTGTTCTGTAGACTATCGAAAAAATATAGCTTAAAGGGGCTAATAATTATCCTTAAAATAGTGTTTAAAAAAATTTAAACTGCTTTTATTCTAGCCAAAATAAAAGAAATAAGACTTTCCCCAGAAGAAAAACATATTATCAGACATACTTTGAAATTTAATTGCTCTGTTAAACATCACTTGGGAAATATAAAAAGAAATAATAATTCAAAGGGGGCTAATAATTCTGACTTAAACTGCATTTGGTCCTTTCATATATTGTTTTTTGCACACTTTGTAGTAGGGAAATTCGAGTTCAGACAAAGCATAAGTGTCATGCCGGCCATTTATTTATAGTTTCGGTCCCACTTTATTTTAAGTGGCCTTAACAGCTATGTACTTACATTTGAATTAATCATTTAGTAAAATGCATTTCTTATGTACAGTACATACACTACCAGTCAAAAGTTTGGGGTCAGTAGCAGTTTTTAAATGTTTTAAAATAAGCTTCTCCTGCTCACCAAGGCTGCATTTATTTAATTAAAAAAAAACAGAAAAAATATAAGATTGTGATATGTTATTGCACTATAAATTAACTGTTCAAAAGTAGTTTATTACAGTACAATAAACTGATTCCAGATCAGCATCTGTACGCGCCATTTAAAGGGACACTTCTGTTATCAAACAAGTGAGTTTATTTTACGGAGCGCGTCTGTCAGTCAGCGCTTATACATGCATTCGCTGGTTCAGAGGTTGCAAAGTGAAAGGTGACGATCGACGAACAGATTTAATGTAAAGAAAGTGGGGTAGAATGGTAAAATATGGGAGAATTTCGGCAAAAACGGGAGGGTTTACGTGAGTGCAGTGAACAGGAAGTGTTTGTGGAGAAACAGTTTTGCGAGAGAACGCAAAACATCTTTGCGAGATAGCACAAAACTTTGCGAGGGAACGCAAAACATCTTTGCGAGGGAATGCAAAACTTTGCGAGATAACGCAAAAACTTAGAAATATATATTTTCCTCCCACCCATTTTTTTCTTTCACCCATTATTTTTTTTTCACCCAGCCAATTTTTTTCTCCTCCACTATGTCCCTTCCGGGGTTCCGTACTTTTCTTAATCATTCTGACACAATGGATTTACTTATTTTTTAAAAGTAAATTCAACTTATAAGTTTAATGGTAACGGGTTTACTCACATTTTAAATGAAGCAAAGTAAATCACTTTTTACAGTAAACATTGTAATTATTTTCTGAAGTACCTATTAGGTAAAGGTATAGTGCACCCTAAAATTAAAATTTACAAACTTATTACTCTCCCTCAAGTAGTTTCAAACCTTTATGGGTTTCTTTCTTTGGTCACACTTTACTTGGATGGTCGGTTTGTTGAATTTAAGTTACATTGCATCTACATGCCAACTAAATCTCATTAGATTATACAACACAGGCTCATGCTGAAAACATAGTCCCGCGGACATTTCTGAAGACCACAAATTATGTAGCCGGAGGTAAGTATTGCTGCATTTAATTTTTTAAAGCGAATGCTAATAGGCGGTATGACATCATTCCTTTTGGTGATAACCGGCTGACAGCTTACCACCGTGTGGAGGGTTTTTTCCACTGCAACCAGTTTTTCCAGTTAGCTCGTCATTTACGTTGGCGGACTTGAGACGCAGAGATGAGTTGACCATGGCGACAATGACAACCAGGTTCGAGTACAGGGAAGAGCGGTTCCAGAAATCAGGTAAGACAAAAACAGAATCCAAAAAATAATATATTAAGTGAACAACAGGGTGAAAATTTGGTAAAATCTGAAAACATGAGAAAGAAAAAACATGAGATTTTTTTGAGAAAGGCTTTTGCAAACTGTTGGTTGGATTTAGGAAAGTAAGCGGGCAAGCAGGTCGATTGGTAAAATTGGTTGGGTTTAGGGAAGGAGGACACTGGGTCAGTCAATTGGCCGGTCACCCAGTCAATCATTCGACAACTGGTGGGTTTACGTGAGAACAGCACGGGCGCAAACGCTACTTGAGAGGAATATTTGAGATGCGAAAAAGCACACACATCGCCCTCTCGCGGATTCCCGAAAACAAAAACTGCAATAATACATACCTCCCAGGATGTATTTTGCGGTCTACAGAAACGTCCATGGGACTACGTTTTCAGAATGAGCCTGGGTTGAGATTATCAGTAGACTGTTAGGTTGGGGATAACGTTTGTGTAAGTTTACATGTATTTACAAAGTTTCTTATAGTCAGTTAAATGTCTGTAGAATGTCTGTATCAACAGATATTAAGCAGACAGTCTACTAATACTCAAATGGAGTATCAAAATATAGTGTTACCCTTTCTTCTGTTGAAAAACTACAACCATTGACGTCCAAAGTAGAAAACAACAAATACTAAGAAAGTTATTTGTTACAGGTTTCTGGCTTTCTTTAAAAGATCTTCCTTTTGATTCAAACTTATGAAGATCTACACATAAAGCCTGTAAATGACTATGGAATTTTCATTTTTGCGTGCACTATTCCTTTAGGCCACATAATATAAAGTGGGACCATAGTTTCAATTTGATTTTGATTCTCTATTCTCTTACCTTGACAGACAGCGTCACTGACAGGAGTGCAGCTTTTCACCTCCATCTCGGGCTGATCGCACACTGTGCATGGCAGGCAGGGGTCAAAAGAGGTGTCCTGATCCGAATACGTGTCATCCTCGCACTTTTCGCACACTGTATCTCGCTCAAAATTACAGGGCACCTGCACACCCTGGCCTACAGGACACACGGTGCAGGCCTCGCAACGGCCGCTTAGTTGGTTGAGGAAGAAGCCGTAGTCGCAGACACACAAGGCATCATTGGCATCCGTGCAGGGCGTCAGCATGCGCATCAGCTCAGAACACTGTGTGCAAGGCAGGCACTTGTCTTTATGGCTGAAGTTCTCCGAGAACGTCTCACCTGAGGACAGAAGGAGCCGAGGTTAAAGTACACATGGGATTAAAATGAATCGTATGATTTTTTAGCTCACATTGCTAGTTTTGTTGTGAAAAATTTACCTGAGCAGGTCATTAATAAAAAAAAATGTTTGCTCTTTTAAATTAAAATCTAAAAAAGCACTTCCTGTTTGTTTTCAGGTAAATTCCCAGATTACGTCTGTCTGAGGCACTGGGCGTGGTTAACATACTTAACTGATAATAATATTAATTGCATCATCACACTAGCATGCAACATAATCAAAAATTATACTAAAAATAACTTTGGTTTTGTAGTTCGGGCCGAAACAAATTGTAGAGTAGGGATGCTGGACAATGGGAATGAGGATCCACACACAGTTTAGTAAAAAAGACAGGCAATGGTCAAACAGGTACAAACAGAATCATGAAGGTAATTCAGAAGCATAGTCAGAAAAACAAAATCAACAGTAAACCAGACAATGATCAAAACATGGAAGGACAAGACCACTTGGAAGGGAAGGGAAACACTTCGTAATGCTATAGAAAAAAAAAAAAACTCAGCAAAGTATGTGTATGCGAGGTGAATTTACAATCCAGGTAATCAGTCCATCATGACTTTCAGCTGAGTGTGTGTGTAAGTGACCGAATTATTGTCAGCTGTGGTAGAAGTTGATGAGTGCAAAGAGTTGTAGTTTGTTAGAGTAGCACATGTGTAGTTCTCCAGTGATCTGCACAGGCTTGATCGCTGGTTTGATTTGATTGACAAAATAAAAAATAGTGGATATTATTAAACCATTTTTGTTTGTGGTCAAAATTGATAGTTGGGGGGGTGTGGTTAACATACTTAACCATGCCCCTCCAACTGTCAATTTTGACCACAAACAAAAATGTTGAGGAGGAGGTGTCGGTTGTAATGACTCTCATGCCTACCTTACTACATCCAATCAGCTTACAGTAGAAAAAACAAGGCACACACAAGTTTCTTTAGGAATTGCATCACAACACAAAAAAAAAAAAATGGTTGCAGCTTCTCATCCAAGCAGACGTTAAAAATACAAGATTTTAAAGTGTACAAAGTTTGTAGTTGTGCATTATATGTCTCTTCAAATCTGTTCTGGCTACTCAGGCATAGGGCTGGGTGATCAAATTAAAATGATAATTATTTCAAGGCTGTCTGGGATTCTTGATTCTGATTGGTCAATCACTACATTCCAAGGTTTGTTATTCCGATAACAGTTACGGAAACTATTTTCACAGGCATATTCAGGTACCTCATAATAATTTTGATCGTCAGTGAATACGATCACGTCCATATATATTGTATGCTTGTCTGTCATGTCACTGTTTTTGACTTTGTCGCCATTTTTTCACCATCTGATTAATATGTATATTTACTGAACACTATTGTATGTTATTTTTAGCCATTTTCATTTCTATCAACTTTGCATTTGATTACAGAATTAATAAACAATTACAGCTCAGAACAAATCTTTAATTTTTTTTTTTTTTTTTGCCAAGTAGCTATGTAATAAGCGGCATAAAGTACATCTAGTCGTTTTCATAGAAAAAAATGTCTTATTGGGCTTATTCTCAATTGCGATTGTTTTAAAACTTCTGATTCAGTTGTTTATGGAAGAAATTACAAGGATTAATAAACGGTTGAAAACGGTCAAACTACTTGCTCTTCAAAAACAACAAAAACAACAACAACAAAAAAAAAACAAGTGTGTTCATGGCTATACATAAAAGGCAGAAAAAATATTATTAGTAAATATCAGTTTGCAACATCAAACAGCTTAACGATCTGCTTTTAACATCGAAAAATCAATGGAAGTGAGTAAGACTGGAAGTGTCGAGCCAAAAAGATTCCAATGGCTGTGTCTGCTAATATGTGAAGAATATATTCAATACAACAATAAGCATATTGGCTTTATTCTGCAATGACAACCGCCTGGAAGTACTTTATCCCTTACTTATGACACTACCTTTTCCTCACTTAAACAATAACACCTGTTCGATAACTATTCAATATTATGGTTAGCCTTTAAAGTGAACTAAACAGTTTTGGTTGTTTGCACCACACTAACTTATTTTTCCAATCGCATGAAATCGCATCCAACAGCATCGCTGTTTGGGTTTGTTTATATGCAAACAAGGTCCCACTTTATATTAAGTGTCCTTAAATACTATGTACTTGCATTAAAAAAATAAATTCAATGTACTTGCTGTGTTCATAATGTATTTGAGAACACTTGTGTGGGTTAAGGTGTAAGGAATGGTCAACAGTGTATTTACAAAATGTAATTACAGAAGTTAATTACAGATGTAATCACATACAGGTATTTAATAAAGCATAAGTACACAAGAAATACATGTATTTACACAATAAGTACATTGTAACAAACTATTATTTTCTGTGTAAGTACATATTAGTTAAGGCCACTTAATATAAAGTGGGACCGCAAATAGTCTTAAATTTAGCAAAGAACACAAATGTCTCTGTGATTTAGTTTAAAGCCAGGAGAAAGTGTACTGTGCTACTAAACAGGAGAAACATGATCCAAATAAAAGCTTGTTCCATGGATTTACTGTACCATGATTTTGTGGCTGAATTGAATTAATTTCATTACTAATGATGTTTTAAATATATCAAAAAAAATAATAGAATATAATTACATTCATCATTGTTCTTCAACTTAATGTATTCAGGCTAGTGCTGCTTACCATAATTATCACATAAACCACACAGTTACATGGTAATAAGGTGCTATATATATGGTTTTACCAACGATCATGATAATAACAATTTGATTTTATGGATAACAAAGTTACATTTGAATTAAAATCAAATAATTTACCTGAAAAGTCAAGTTCTATAAATACAGTATATGTAATTAAAAAGTATTGTGCTTCGTCTTTGGTTGAGTGGTGTGTTTTTTGTGAGTGGGCAACTGGTGAGATGATGTGGCAGTTTTTGAACATGTCCATATTCCTAATGATTGTGTGCTATATTAAACTTGTTATTGGGGGCGCTACTGAGCAGGCGATGGAGTAAGGTAAAAGTTGGGTGAGCTCTGCAAAAAACGTAATATAACTTATAAATTTAAGGCGCTTTAATCGAAAATATGAGATGCTACATCTATCTAAGACTTTACTACTTCACATAAAGCAGCTGGGTTCTCTATAAATCCAAATGGCGGGCAAACTACGTAAATATAAGTACACGGGGAAAACCGCTGCTAATCAAGAGGATGCTAATACACCTAGCATGATGTCCGAGCCAGCCGAACACACTGACATTTTGGAGATTAAAGCTGAGCTGATCTCATCGATCAAAACGGAAATAACCTCGCTCTTTCAAAAAGAACTGAAAACTGCACTGTCAAACGAATTTGAAATGGTCAAAGCTGAATTACAAGCAGTTAAATCCGAGATAGCAAGCAACGCTTCGGCTGTTCGCTCAGATCTTGAGGCAATTAAAACGACAGTGTCAGACATGGAACGAGGCTTATCCAGCTGCTCAGACGATGTTACAGAACTGCAAAACACCGTGCGCAAACTGGAGAAAAATGTAGTAACCCTACAAGAGAAATGCTTGGACATGGAAGGGCGAATGAGGAGGTCAAACATTAGAATACTGAATGTAGCCGAAGATCCTGGCGCATGTACTCCAGCCTCAGTGTCGAAGCTGCTCAAAGACACCCTCAAAATGGATAAAGATATACTGATCGATAGATCTCATCGCACTCTCCAGGCAAAACGTGCAGATGGTAAACCCAGGGCCATTGTTGCAAAATTGCATTACTACCAGGACTGTGTGGAAATTCTACGCCGAGTTCGTGAAACCGGACCCCTTCATCATAACGGCGCAACCATATTCATCTTCCCCGACTACCCGCCGAGCGTGGCCCGTGCAAGATCGGCTTTTAACGAAGTCCGAAAACTACTACGAGGAAAAGATGGTGTTCGTTATGGCATTCTTCACCCGGCCAGGCTCCGAATCACACACAACGGGACGGAAAAGCAGTTCCAAGATGCAGCAGAAGCCCTGACTTATGTGAAAAATAATATTCTTTAAGACGGCTCGACCATCTCTGATTGAGTAGTACCAAGCCACTTCAGTGACTTTGTTTTTTTTCATACACTCACACTCCCATCTAAATGACCATATTTGAGTGAGTATATGAACATTACATCTATGCAGAGACTGACTGAATTCCTATTTCATGGATGAGGAGTGAAAAACAATATTACTGATACAAAATCACTTACCATTTTCAGTTAAACTTAAAAGCAGGAAATATAATTGGGACAGTACAATTACTGAGTTTATTATTATCATTACTATGCTGTTATGTAACTGTCACACTTGTTTTAATAGGTGATTGTTAATAATATGCGCCAATTTAATTTATTATTTTTTAATTTCATTTTTGTTTTCTTTCTTTAATAATGTGCAGAGCAACTTGTGAGGTTTAAACTCCCCAAGTAAGCACTTTATGTGTGGATATTGTTGCGAGGGGTTAAAGTTGCACCATGTTCTATTTGGTGTTTGGGAATGGGTAAATGTCGCACTTCATTTTATACTTCTACTTCTTGTTTTGTTTTCTACAATCTTATTGGAAGGGTCTTTTCTGTTATATTTAAACGAAGCGTTTGTATGTAAGCCTACATTTTTAAAGACGTATGGTTAAACCACACAATGTTAACGCATCAGGCGTTTGCCAGGTGAATCTTATAAGTTGGAATGTTAAATCTTTGAATCATCCAGTGAAACGTGGAAAGGTTCTCTCACACTTAAAACAGTTAAATACAGATATCGCTTTCCTACAAGAAACCCACCTGAAAACTTTTGATCACTTTAGACTAAGAGGAGGATGGGTGGGACAACTCTTTCACTCGACTTTTCACTCCAAATCTAGAGGAACAGCAATTCTCATTAGTAAAACGGTTTCATTTGAGGCATCAAAAATCGAAGCTGATCCAGCAGGCCGTTATATAATG